TTTTTCCTGAACACCAGGCATGCCAATAAAATGCCCCATTCATACCAAGGAAAAGCACATTTCAACCAGCAAGATGTTTAGGGCTACACCACACCCACAGCTGACCCTCACGCACTTGGCCAAGGAGCTGGGTCTTTGGGTTTAGCAACACACACACACACACACACACACACACACAGACACACACACACACTCTCTCTCTCTCTCTCTCTCTCTCTCTCTCAAGTTAAGAAAAAAGGAAGTATTGGGGGGAGGGGGGTGGACAGACAGTTGGTTTCCATTTCTGTTCCCGGAGCAGAGTTGTGGAGGTCCTAGGGAAGGGCTTCAGGACACATCAACAGCATCCTTCAGCACCTCCTCGAGCAGCCACATTCCTCTCCCAAGATGCCCTTCATTAAGAGCCGTGGCCTTCGAGCACAACCCAATCCCTGCTGATCAACACTGGCCCAAAGATCTTTCTGTCCAGAGGCTTCAAGCTGCTTTCTAGATATTGCTCTAAAATCCTACCAGCCTGCCAGGAAGGCTTCATCCTCCTAGATGTTACTGAACATTGAACCTGAGATTTTTCAGAGTAGATATTTATCACTGCAGTGTTTAAAAAATAAAATACATACATAAATTAAAAATAGGATGAATATTAAACACAGAGACAATTTACCAATATCAAAGTACTCCTGTCAACCCAGATCATTTATTTTTCCTTCTTTAATTTTCTGTGGAACTCACAAAGCAGTGCGACTCACAAATCATCTGTGGCAAAACCATAACCTCTCAGAAATATTTTTCAGGAAACACAGACAAGTTATTTTTCAAATCATTTTTCACTTTATGATGTTGACCTTGGAAACAATACACATTTGTGTTCCAGCTCTTTTGTGGTAGCCAAGGGCAGCTACAAATACCTATTTGTTATTGTGGGACACTTTATAACTGTTCAACTTTCTTTTTCTGGAGGTTGTCAGGGTTGGTTGGAATTTTTTTTTAATGAAGTATTGAAGCATTTACACTAAAGGACAGAGCAGAATAATTACGAAATGTTTTCCCAATCGATCGCAGAAGACAGTATGTCACGTTTTAGTGCTGCCAGGTCTGAATTTTCCCCTTTTAGAATTCTGAATCATACTGAGTGATCTCCACGTCCTGTTATGTTAGAAATAGCTGATATTCCAACCTCAAGGTCTTATAATCACCCATTGCCCAAAGACTGCAAGTTCCTCCTTTGCCTTCTCTCCTCATTCTTTAACAACCCCAGGCACATCCCAAAATTTTAGTTGCATGAGAAATTCCTGATGAAAATGTTTCACCTGTGTCATTTTAAAACTCATGAATATTGAGTGCACCATGTACCTTAAAAAGTAGGACTAAACCTTGTGGCTACTAAAGTAGGGAAGACAATGTCTTTTGATCAGCCTGCACAACTACACGTGCAGACTTCTCTTTTACAATATCAAAAAACTGTTGCTCAAACCCTTAGGCTCTTAAAAAAGGCTTATAAAAAGCCAATGTTCCTCTGGAAAGGGAAAGCTATAGCAAACTGACCAATCTCTCAGCTCCACCATTTCCTTAGTGCTAGCAAAACAAATTTTATGGACTGTTCCTTCCACATTTTGCCTAAAAGGAAAAGGGCTGGGGATAGGCCTAGGAGAAGTCAAGAACATCTCCTTCAGAGGCCCAAAGGAAGGACTTGGAGGTGAAGGCAAACTTACTACAATTCCACTTGCTTTGCTTTCAAAAGAAAGAGGAAAGTGCTAAAAAGGGAAGACAACTTAGAAGAAAATGACTAATAGGACATGAAAGACATAATAATAGAAAGCATTAAAAATAAACATCCTACTCACTCATTTCAGCCTGCAAATGTCTTTGTGGCCATTTAATCCTTGCAGCCAGAAACCTGAGACACGGGGCCTGGGAGAGTGAAAACTATATTTTAATAGAATTTGATATGTTGACAATGACTAACAAAACAAATAGCAGGATTGCTGTGCTACCTGCAGAAATCGGGCCACAAGCATAAGGTCAATATTTTGTTTTAGGCTTTACCGTTTGCACAGATTAAAAATACCAACTGCTGTTTAGGAGATTAAGTGCAGTTTTCCACTGAAGTTAGAAGTCTTAGATAAGCAAGGGCAGAAATTTATTTCTATTCCTTTTTAATATGATTTCCTTTAGAAGCATTTCTAGTTGGTATCTTGATCTGCCATCTTACATATCCATTCTGTTGCCCAGACTGCCAAAGAGTTTTGCTATGATTTGTGTATGTATTTTTTAATACCTCATTTTCATTTTATGGGCTGTATTCATTTCAGTTTCACTTACCTCAAGAGTTGCCATATCACTGTTTGTGCCACCATAGTTATAGTCATGTCAGCACATTATTGTAAGCCATTATTTTCAGGCTTTTTATAACTGTCATAAGGATTTACTTCAAGACAAAATCTTGCTCATATCACTCTTTCAAGCTGTAGAGAAGTCAGGAAGACAATAGACACCATTCAATTCCCCTGCACTAGGACAGCAAGATCTGTAGTTGGTCTCTACTTATGGTGACCGCTACATTGTCCCACGATACTCAACTGGAAATCTGTTCACAAATTTCATTGAGGAAAAAATTGAGAAAAAAGGCTTTCAAAATAATTATGAGCATCTCTGCAGCTGTGGAGAACCAGAGGCTTGAAGACGCTGTTCTCAGATTTAACAAATCATGCTTTTCTTAATTATGTACAATAAGTCATATTTACTAGTCCAATTGCTGACTCTTGTTAAATATTTTTTTTCAAACCACTTATGCACACTACTACCAATGCATTTGACATGAATGTCTGAGGCCACAACTGTAAACCATCAAAGAAGTGTTTTCAGATGTGCCTCCAAAGCAGCGAACAAAATTTTTTTTGAGGGACTCTGTATGCACATATGTAAATGTATGTAGTATCTATACACTAAAACAAGCATATAACTGAGAAAAAGGAATACCTACAAATGTATATATGTAAGTGCAAATAATAGATTTGTACATGTAAATGTGGGGATAATATGGACATTTGGGGAGTTCGCTTCTATTCATCTTTGACCATTTGGTATTAGATGTTCAAACCAAGGCATATGTAAAGGTTTATTATACTGAATAAATGCAAATGGAAGCAAAATGTTGAAGTAGAGAGTTTTAAAGCAAAAGAAAACACAAAAATGCAGATGGTAATTGTGCAATACAATTACTTTGCAAGGCCTGTTATACAAACTGGCAGATGCAAGAAAGTTCAGATACAATGCAACTCACATTTTAACAAGAGAGATGAACAACACGTGAGATTTAGTTTCCTTTGGATGTTTGCGCTGAACATCCATCTTATTAGCAGGAGTTAAACATCAAGAACAGATTTATTTTAAATATACTTCTTTTTATAAATGTCAGCTTTTTAATAACTATCATAAAATATTTTAAAGTACAGCTTTTCCTCTTTCACTTAAAAACTTCAAAAATCCTAGGCATAATTGGGTCATGTTAACAAGAATAAAAGCATCTGAACAATTTTATGGTCTTAACTTCAAATTGTAAAGTGTGTGCACGCATGTGATTTCCTTTCATCTAAAATGCAGAAATGAAAAGGGAAGTGATCATTTTTCCTATTTACATTTCTGGCACAGTAAACAGTTCTTTAAACCTTTATGAACGTGCAATTTATTTGGGAAAAAAGGGTGTCTGCAGAAATTAAATAACTGCGTTTTTAAAAGCTAAGAAAGCATGACGTCCCTAGTAAGGCAAACCCCACTTCTCTATCAAGTCCCTGCATTCTAAGACATTGTCACACACAATTTATGTTCACAGAACACAACTGTAGATTTCTGATGCAAAATGCTTAATAATAATTTAAGGATTCTCCATCTTAAACAATATGCTAAAGGGAATTACAGACATAAAGAAGTCATGTGCTGATAAAAAGGAACAGGCTTGCACATCTTGTTATGCTGGGCCACAACCCTCAGTAATGAGGAGTCTAAACATTTCATTAAAGCCTTTTTATATTTCTAGATCTTTTTAAAACTTTTAATAATTATAAATAAAAAACTGGTGTGTTGAAATGACCACTTAGCTATAAAAAACGGATCTCTAGAAGTACACTAGGTATAAATGACTGGATAAAAAGAAATTTGATCTTTTTTAAGCTGCTAGTTGTTCACTGCTATATCAAAAAGATTGCTATGTTCCAAAGTGCATATATTATAAAAAGAGCCTTACAATGGGGGTACCATAATTTAAGGCATTGCTAAGGCATAAAATAAAATTGATTTTATTACAGAAAGCAAAATGGTTCTATAACAGAATTAAATATACATTTATTTATAAGAGTCTTCAGATTTGCACAGTATTAACCCTGAAGTATTTCACCCAATTATAATTAAGTTTACTACTTTATAAATACAACTTTATGTATTTAAAATTGCCTTTAGACAAAAAGAAACACACTAAAAACTGTAGCCTTGGACACAAACAACCCTAGCAGTTCAATGACTACAGTACATGACCTTTCAGAGGTGGAATGTACCCAAAATGCTTAGAAATGCCCAGGAAGTAAATGCCTACTTCTCAAAACTAGCTTTTTGTTTGGTTAAATGAACTACTGACCATAAAGACACCTGGAAGGAAATGACTGAGTAAACAGTATTTTATTTCATATAAATACGATTCTTAACTGTTAAAGCATTTTGACCAAAACTCTTTCCTGCTACTCATGTCATTCAAGTTTTGAATCTTCTGTTTCTTTCTGGTTCTGGAACAAACAGTGTAAAAGTCATCTATATCCGAGGGGGAAAATATACATATAGCAAGTCACTACAGTTCTTTCACAGTACAATTTTGTTGAGCCAAACAAAGCATGGAGGGCCCAGGCCTACCTCGTTTCTTAGCTAGAGCTCCCACTGGGAGCACTACACAAAAAGCAAGGATAGAATATATCCCATGAAGAGGGCAAACATTTCAACCTTAAGGTATCAATTCATACTTCACTGCACAGGCCTAATTCCTGTTACATTCAAGAGAACTGCAGTAGCTAGAGATTATTTGGGTAGTGCAGCCCAGTTTTACTTTTATTTTGTTTTACATAAGATTAACCCCAATGTAGCATTAATGCATGTTTAATGAATAATTCGGTCTGGCAGATTTAAAGTTAAGGCTCCTATTACGTTCCTAACTCAGAAGCCTCCTGCAGTACTAGACACGTGATGGAGGGTTGAGATATGCTTCACCCTGGACCTGCCCACCTACGGAGGAGCAGCAACACTGACTTATACATTCTAAACCACGCTGACTCTATGTAAAAAACTCCATTGCTACTTCAGCATAGGGAAAATGAAGTATAAAGTTACACTAAAATATGGATGACAGCCTTGCCCAGAAGAAGTCAGTGGCAAAGCTCCCATTTACTTCAACAGGGCCAAGTTTCACCAGATGACTTTTGTTGTTCTGTACTAGGTGATTCCCACATGAACACACCCTCACCCCTGCTCCAAGTTAAATTAAAAAAGCAAAAGGCACTGGTCTACAAAAAATACTTAAAACCTGCATAATTTCAGTCTTTAAAATGGTACTGATCTTTCCAGCTATCCTGGATTTAAAACAAAACAAAACAAAACCCAGTAAGTGATTTAAAACATCTGTACCGAGGCCAATAATGTTGCATTATATTTTAGCTTGATGCAAATAAGGAGCCTGTTCACATTGGATACTGGCACTCAGCAACTCCCTTTGAAGCCAATGAGACTTGCAAGAGCTCTGTACCCCTCCAGATTATTCCCCAAAGTGAGGTAATTGTATTCAACTGAAAAAGAGAGTGGAGAAAAACAAAGAACAATTCAACCTGAATAAACCATTATGAATACAATACATGACAATATAAAATATAAATATTGCTGCAAATGGGGTTCAAATGAACATGGCTAATCTGCAATTACAAAATTAGAGTGGAAAATAAACCTGATTTTACTTTGTATACTGCATACAGAAACTTTGGTTGTAATGGCTGCTTCTGGACATCCACAGTCATCATTACATTTCTGAAGGGAGCAGAAAAAGTGGTGACTTTCAGAAAAAAGAATCTATAGGAATTTTATTTTCTATGAAGTAATCTATTTTAGAGTTCTGTAAACATTTCTAATTAAAACCTACAACCTATATGGACAACCACTTGCTGTTTCTAGCTGAGTGTTCACAGTTATAATTCCACGTTTTATACTACCCAAGTTTCCAGCCAAATTCTCTCAAGCTAAATATTGACGTGTGCTATTTTAAAACGAAACAAACTCAAATTCCCTGATTGCAAAGTGAAAGTGAATAAATGCACAGAAAAAAACAAAGGATAGAGATTCTTCCAAACTGCAACAACAGATTTGCACTCACTCTCAACCCCTGATCACACACAGTGGCCCAGCTCCACTCCACTGGAGTTTCAGGCATATCAATGAAGACAAAAATTGTCCCATTTAGTCTTGTTATGAGTACTGCAATCTGTCCACAATTAATACACATTGGTTTTAACAGACAAAGTTGAGAGTGGATGTGTCAATTATATCAGTGAACTGTATTGTAAATTCCAAAGTTACAAAACCTACAGAGCCAAAGCAAAATCTTATTAGCAAACAAGTAAAGATTCATCGTCACTCGTATTGATTTCTGAGAGTGGAGTAGAGGACTCTAGCGTTGGCACTTCCACAGAATGGCAACAAGCAGCATGAATACCCAGAGGTTCCTCCCGATACGGATGAGGGCAACATCGGTGCTGTCCATCCACCTGAATACGAACATTCATAGAGCTGTCTAAGTAAGCAGACTCCCATTTTTTTAAAGGCAATCTACATGGCTCTTCACTTAGTGGATGACTCCTGTTTAAACTACTGTTCTCTGCCACAGTCCTTCTGGCTGTGGCCCCTCCATGGAGTGTTTCTGTAAGACTTTCAGACAAAGGATCTCTGAAAGTTTTTCCTGAATCCACTTTATTGGTTTGTTTTAGCTCACTGCTGGAAGGCTCAGCACCTGAAGATTTGTCAGCGTGTCCAGTCTCTGGCTCTGCATGAGCAGCTGTGCAAGTGTTAGATAAAACAGTGGAGGGTGATGGCTCTGAGGCTTCAGCCACTGGCTGCAAATTGCTGCTTCCAATATCTTGTTGTCCCCTGGCCTGGCTCTCTGACTCTGAGTTAGGTCCTTCTGGGGAAGGTGGGAGGCTTTGAATATTCCCATCTGTGTGATTGATAATGCCATCACCTAGGATTGTTTGTGAAGTGCGTGCCGGTGTGAGGAGTGGGATCTGTCCTCGCACTCGTGGTCTATGGAAAAGTCTGTTCCAAAGTCTGCCTAGGCGCCTTCGGGATGAATTCCGTCTTGAAGAGTGGCGTCTCATCTGTCTCCTCATAGCAGTTCGGATGTTCTGCAGCACAGATGCCTATAAACAGACACAAGAAACCATGATTTTGGCAGAGAACAACTTCAAATATGTGAAGCTGTACTATCCACTAACTTCTCCATCTGAGTGCATCCAAGTAGCAGTCTTAGAAGGGAAAACTACAGCTTGAATGTGGCAATGTCATAATAAAGCTGTTTAAAATTAAATCAGAATCTGCTCAGCCCACACCAACCATTTTTCCTAGAACCCTCTCAGCACTGCTTCCAAGGTTAGCCTCCCCAGCTCAGCACAATTAGGTGCAGGTTTTTGCTACGATGGTTCAGCATGCTGCACCACTGGGTACTGCTCCATTGCAATGCCAGAAGGAGCTGGTAAGACCCAACTTATTAGAGAAAGGGAGAAAAGAAAAAGGCAAAAGCAAACTCCCTCTGTGCTTACATAATTAGAAGTGCTTTAATCAATTATACATTTGGTACACTAGGAAAGGGAATGTATTAGACAGTGGAAGGCAGATTTGGAAAAATACAAGAATAAGAAAGTACAGTTTTTTAAATAAACTTTGCATTTGCTAATTAAAAATCCCTGGAATTTTTCCAGAAGAAAGTGCCTACACTTCTCTTTTCTTTTCTATTTTAAATTCCTTTGAACTTGAAATGCCTGTCTTTGTTTCTGTTTTTGTTGAGACACTTCTCTGTGTCTCCGGTCATTACATTCTGATGTACAATGTGTGTGTTTTCATGTGCACACATGACTTTTATCCATTTAGCTTGCAGCAGTCACGAGCACCTAGCTACTCTAGAAATCATAGCCATCCCATGAAAATGTATAACTGTAACTCAGCAGTACAGAATACATTACATGTATTTTGTTACAACACTTTCACCCGTTATAAAGTCATTTCATGTTAGTATAACAAGACAATGCAGATTAATTCAATATATGGGAGTCTGTAGTAAGTTTCATTTACTTGCGATGCATTGTAAACTGGGAAATCTTCAACTGGTGGGATAAGTCCTTGTGCAATCAGCTGCCCATAGGAAGGTGGAGCTTCCCGCCGCACAAATTCTGCTTCAAGCCGAGTCATTTGGGTTTCAAATGCTCTGGAAGCAACATTATCATAGTAAAAACAAAGACAGACACAAACATTACACAAACCAATATACCTAAAGAGGGGAGGGGGAAGTGTCATCAGGCAGCAGTGCAGTACTAAATTAGATTAGGAAAAAAATGTAACCCAAATGCAGGGCAATACAATCTTCTTTTCATTAGGATGTTAATACTATACAAAAGAAATACTAGTGTAGGATAACTTTATATTTCTCCCTAACCACAAGAGAGAGAGAGAGAGATAGAATCCATTGGCCATTTCTGAAAGAACAAACCAACTTTTAACTGCTGCAAACTCAATACTCTACCCATTTCTTAAATGTTGCAGTCAATTTTACTGTGGCATAGTTTTACTTTGCATCTCATCCATCCACTTGGATGGACATTTTATTCTTTCCCCTAACTAAAAGGTCAGTAACTGAAGTTAAAACATTATCAACACAAGATTTTTACCTGTATTCTCTAGTCCTCAGCGAGTAGAGTTTAAATGCACAACCCAGTGCAATCACCAACAGCAAGCCACACACCAGGCTCCCAATCAGGGCAGCTGTGATGACTTTCCTGGGCACTATCACCAGACAATTATGTTCATCACTTCCATCCTGGCAGTCTTCTTGACCATCACAACGCCATGTCTCAAAGATACATAGGTTTGTGCCGCAGTGAAAGTTTCCTGGCTGGCATGTAAAGCAGTTTTTTTCATCTGAGCCATCTGGGCAGTTCTTTTGGTTATTACATCGGTCAAGTATTGAATAACACAGTCCACTGTTTCCTTCACATGGGTATTCGTTCTTCTGACAAGCAGGACAATTCTCTTCATCTTTGCCATTTGGGCAGTGCCACCAACCATCACAATGCTGCTTATCTGTGTAACACTCCTCATCACTTCCACATGGATGTTCCCAGGGAAGGCAGTAACCTTTTACCTGATAGGTTGCATTGAATCCATGGCCAGTACTCTTCGATCTGGCGTGATATGAAATGGTGAGCTGACCCTTTGAGGACTCCACACTCACTGAGTGCCTGTTGTTGTGATATGAAAATGTTTGCATTAATTTATCACCTCTCTCTCCAATTCCATCATACACCTTGACATAGTCATTGTATCCTAACTGTAAATCAAGCTGCAAGAGCACATGCCGGTTATCTTGTGTATCCACATACCAAGTACAGCGGAGGTCTGCCCGGCTATGATCAGCACGGAATAAGTCTGGGGAAGCAAAGGACCCATAAAAATTACCCAGTCTTTTGCCACAGGAAAGATCAGGGCAATTGTCCTCATCTGAACCATCACTGCAATCTTTAACTGAATTACATCTTAATTCATTTATCAAGCACTTGGTGGAGTGGGCTACACTACACTGGAACGTTCCTGAGGGACAGATGCTGGACTGAGGCTCCGTTGGGGGCATGGTGCAGTTTCTCTCATCTGAGCTATCCCCACATTCATCCATGGAATTACACTTCCAAGTATTAGGAATGCATTTGCCATTTGCACAACGGAATTCATCTGACTGGCAAACAGCCTGGGCTATTTTTCCTGTGAAAGTAAAAAAAGATTGTTAAAAGATTTAAAACACCTGGCTATGTTTTTTTATTCAAATTTTTTATCCCAGCATGAAGCGACTCGGTCTGCTGGGCCAGCCCACCTCAAGAATCCTCTCAAAGTCAAATGGTAAATAAAAATGTCCAATACTCTTCACGCCCATACTTTAAACCAATGTTTATACTAGACTTTGCTCAACAGAAAAAAAACAGTCATGGGAATTGGAGGAGAGATGGTGAACTAAGCTCTGAGTAACCCAACAAAATTCACTGAAACTGTACAGAGCTTTTACCTCTGATGTAAGAAAGGCGAAATCCCTGAGCCTGTCCTGAACTCGATGCGTCTGAGTGGAAAAATATCCAGACATGATCTCTTGCAGAGATGAATGAGGGTGGCATGGAAGACCCACACACTTTGTACTCCTCCCTCTTGGAAGATGGACCAATCATCAGCCAGTCTACAGAGCACCTCTGAGAGTCCTCTAAATCAAAGTTCCTAAAACTTTCAGGAACAAAGAAAACACAAATGAAGACAGAGGATAAGAATCTGAATATGGGCATCCTTTCACATTCATAATATCTAAAAGGAAGAAAAGGAACCAGCAAGTCATCCATTGTACAGTGACTGCCCACAAACATAGCACTCATTTTTCCCCCCATTCAGAAAATGATCCACCCCACAGGCTCAGAGCACATACAGAGAATACACAAGATCTAAAATGAACACTCTGCTAAATAATCCCTCAAAAAATAAAAGAATAAATGTCCTGTTACCTGATGTCTTTAAATCAAGATTGGATCATGTTTAAAAGATATACTCCAGTTTAACTACACATTACAAAGCGCATTAAGAAAAAGGGTCAGACTAGATAATTATAAAAGTCCATTTCAGCCTTAAAAGCGATGCATCAATAAATAAACAAAATCCTTTCTTGGACAGAAAAATCATGGAGTTGGACAGGGAAAAATATCAAACTTTCAGGCAATGGGCAGGCAAAAGTGTTGCGGTAAAGTCTCTGAACTCCCAAAAATAATAGAGTCAGATCTTATTTCATCTACAGACAAGATGTAAAGATCTTGTGGGGAAGAGAAACTGAGGCAAAAAGAGAGGATGTGATATCTGTGACTAGTTAACAGGTGTTGCGGATAGGGGAAGAAGCAACAGATATGTAACAATGTTAATGTAAAATCTGAAAAAACGTTAATGCAAAATTTGAATGTGTTCTCCTGCTTGTCACTATTTTGACTCAGTCCTAAGGATAACATAATGACGTAAAAGTAGGTTTGTCCATGTCATCCCAGAGATTTGAGCAAAGTGGAACAGGATCAGATTTAGGTGCCTAAATCCACATAAGCCCCTGACAGGTAGGTTTTGGCCCATCAGTTTTTTCCTCCTCAGACACTAATCTCTTTTTGTGCTCCTGTGTTCAAACATAGAAATCAAACAACCCCACAAGACCAAAGCTGCATATAACTCATAGCACAAGGGTTTGTATAAACTGTCTGCAATGACATGCACTTTATCCCGAACAAGATCAGTTTCAGATTGTGTGTGTCACAATATGCAGCAGCCTTAGACAATGCAACTTGTCTCCCTTGAGAGATTAAAACAATGGAGTTCTCTCTGCGAGAGAAGGGATATAGCTGTCATAGAAAACATGTTTCATTTCCCTGTCAAACACAGAGTTGGGATTAAGTTGGTATGTTAAAAGTTATCACATATATTACATCAGATAGCCACACTGAAAATACTTAGAAAAAGTGAAAGCTTTAGCAAAAAGCTGGGTCACGTTCTACACAATCTATCATAGGTACCAGAAAAAGCTGTGTGAAAATACAAAGGGTACAATATGGCTGTATGATCTAACATCATAAAGCTCTAAGTCAGGTCATTTCCTTCAAGGGAAAGGGAAAAGCACATTAGCAAATCCACCCTATCCAGGAGTCTCAGCCTACAATCATCTACTTTTTATGCACGCTCAGTAAGCTCTCTGACAAAAGCATACAATTAGCAAGAGAAAGGGCATGGCACAAAGAATGGAAAGAGAGGGAATAACGAAGGTACAAAAATAAACTGAAAACCAAAATATCTAATGTCTGTGCAGTAGTCTCCTAAATAACTAAGCAATAGGGAATAATTAATCTCAGAAATATGTTCATTTACTGCTAAAAGCTCCTTTAAGTGATGTTCTCTGGTTCTTCCTAGTTTGCAAGATACATCCCCAAAATACATTATTTTCCAGTATCAACCATCTCATTACATCCTTCTAACTAATGGATTCTGGAAGCCAGAAAGTGCCAGAGATTTTAACTGTTAATATGGAAAGGTAAGCAAAGGCCTACATCTCAGGAAGAATAATTAAAAATACAAATATAAAATGGGTGACACCTGACTGGAAGGCAGCACAATGGAGAAGAAACTGAGTGTCTTGGTAAATCACAGACTCAAAATGAGTCTACAGTCATGCAGCTGCACAAAAGGCAAATACAGTTTTGGGAAGCATCAACAGAAGCATTAGGTGCAAGTCATGGGAGGTGATAGTGTCTCTCTACTCAGCACTGGTTCGGCCACATCTAGAGAGTACTCTGTGCAGTTTTGGGATCCACATTTTTAAAAGGACATAGAAAAGTTAAAGAGGGCCCAAAGTAGGTGACAAAAATGATAAAGGGCTTGGTAGGCAAGTCATAAGAGGAGAGTTTGAAGGTTGAAACAGGCATATTCGGTTTACGGAAAAGGCACTTAACAAGGGATGTGACAGTAGTCTTCAAATAGTTGAAGGACTGCCATAAAGAAGAGGGAAAGCACGTTTTATCTCTTGCTACAGAGTGTAGGATTTGAAGTTGCAGCAAAGTAGGTTTAGACTGGGTGTCAAGAAAAAACTTCTTCACTGTTAGAAGAGCAAGGCAGTGAAACAGACTGCCCAAGGAAGTTGTGGACTCTCCATTACTGAAGATGTTCAAGAAGGGGTTGGACAGGCATCAGTCAGGGATGAGCTATGCCTATGTATGCTTCTTTGCTTTGCTAGGACTGGTACACTTAATGAATGCACTCTTAGCACACAAAAAGCGCTTTATAGCTGTAACAGAACAGACATTCATGGCACATAAAGCATGTTAAAAATGGCAGACCCCACTCTACATTAACCCGGGAAGGATGTATCCTAACCTAAAGTGCTTTCTGTTAGAGCACTTTATCGAACATCTATGCCAGATCCCATTGAGGGTTAGCTTAGAGTGCGATCGCTGACATCCCAGGTGGTGTTGTGCATGGCTCTGCTCTAGCCTTGGGAAAGCTCCTGTGCTCTGCCTGAGCACTGTGCTGGGTCCTCTCTTTGGCTGTCACTGACCCAAGTGACAGCCTCTGATCTCAGCCCCATGCACAACCTGGTGACAGGGATGGGGTTTGCTGTCCCTGCAGGGCCACTGACCTCATGGCACACTGCAGCCCTGAGGGGGGCTGTGGAGGAAGGAGTCCAAGGTCTTTCTCCCCACAGCCACCCTGGCTGGGCTATGGTGCATCGCTGCTTGGCTAGGGGTGGGGGATGGCTGTGGGGGAAGGGCTCTGGGGTCTCCTCCACCACAACAACGGTGCACCACTGTCTGGCCTGGGCTGCTGCTGGGGGAAAGACCCTGAAGCCCTTCTCACTCAACAGCCCTGGCCAGGCCACACTGTACTGCAGCTGCTGGCTGCACTCGTCAAGAGTCTGAATGGGAGTCCCCCATGCAGATCTTGCCTACCCCACCCCCAGGCCCCAGCCAGCAAGTTTTAGAGGGGGGCCCCTGTGGTGGGGGGGCACTGTTCTCCCCCTCTTCCCCCCCAGCCACTGCTGAGAGTCACCAGCTGATGGGGGGAGTGGGGCAGGGCTAGGAAGAGGGGCTGCTCTGGCATCTTCCTGGGAGATGTGTGGGAACAGCCCCAGCAGCCAGTGTGGGCAGGCTGCAAGCCCCCAGCATTGAACAGCAAAGTCTGCATGGTTGGCTCCCACTAACTTATAGCACTTTGAGTAAACCGCAATAAGTTAGAGCACTTCCACCAGGGGCTTTTTGAAAGTCTGTACTTAGCCCTAGTTGCCACCTGGGTCCAGGAAGGATTTTTTCCCCCTCCTACTGCTAGATATAATCAGGGGGGCTTGGGGTTTTTTTAAGCCTTCCTCAGAAACACTGGGTGTTGGCTGCAGCCATGGGTGGGAATGTTGACTGTGGTGTGCCAACACTCATGCTGGGACTTAAAACTGAAAGTTTCTGGCTAGAGGATCTTGCCTCTTTGCTCAGGATCAGACTTGTAGTAAACCCCCCAGTTGTCCTTTTTCTTTGGTTTATTTAAAAAAATACACTCTCTCCCCTTCCCCTAACCATTTCTGACTTTCTCTCTGCCCTCTCTATCCCTTATAAGTGATTACAAATAATACTAGGTAAGCTAAGTTCTTATACTCCCACATTGTAATAAGCCCCTTTTTATATATTATAAATAGTGTTCTGTTATGTTTGTCTTGATTTTTACTGTTTTATATTGTATTATATTGTATTCCTATCATTTGTGCATTGATTTTTATTGTTTCATATTAACATTGTATGATTTAGGCCTGCAGTGTGGTTTGGCATGAGTGATGTCAAGTATCCATTTCACGTGTCAGGTTCCCATCTTGTCCCCATGCCCTGTTGTGTAAGTATGTTGTAACCTATGACTCAGACATACCCCCTCCGATGTAAACTGGTTCCTGAATGAATGGGAATGAATGAGGGTGGTTGAGAGACTATGACAGTAGGTCTAAAAATAGCTCCCTCTGAACGACCGAACCATCAACTCGAGGACTCAACCATCACCCTGCATTGACCCTCCCTGGCTCAAGATTTGGAAGACAAAGACTGCTGCAGAAACCAGCCAACTCACCATTACAGACACCTGAAACTGCATGTCCTCAGTTCCTCAGCCCAGCTTCTCTTCTCATCTACTGGCTCTAATCCCAGTCCTGGCAACTTTCACGCCCTACACTTTCTCTCTCTCACCTTAACCTTCCCCTCACGTATCCCAAGTACCCCAAGCACACACATACACACACCGTACCATCCAAGTTAGGACCTCACCTGTGTGTATGTGTAGGTGGGTGGTATGTGTGTGAATTAGTGAATATACATACATATATATGTCATTTTGTGCATGATATATGAATTGGTGATCCGTGTATGTGTACTGATTTGCGTGTTTGTACCTGTGCAATTGTACACCACATTCTCCTGTCTAACAGTGCGATATTGAGATCCTGAGCATTGGCCTGATCCCACAGGGCAACAGACTGATCGCCATATTTGGGGTCAGAGAGGAATTTTACACCAGGCTCAGCCTGATAGAGACTGTGGGGGGTTTTGCCTTCCTCTGTAGCAGAGAACATGGTCCTCTTCATTGGATCTCACAAGCACATTTTAACCTTTCACAACATTGGCTGCTGTGGTCCCCCTACTTTACCTGTGGCAGACTGGGGGGTTATGTCTTGTGGTTATATT